ATTATTATTATTATTATTATTATTATTATTATTATTATTATTATTATTATTATTCCTGTAATAGGTGAGAGAAAGTGCCCATAATGTAGATGTTGCTTCAGGGCACCTGCAATCAGGAAATTATCTTAGTCCCATTTAGAAATGGATGGATGGATGGATGGATGAAGGAATGAATGGATTAATGAATATCAGTGTATCAAGAGAGAGGATGAATAAATCATGTCCTCCCCTTCCACTTTAGCTTCAAAGTTCTTCATATTTTGTGAATGAATCCTTTAGGTAGAATTCATACATCTGGGGCCGGGAAACTATGACATTCAAAGGATGTAGTATTACAATTCCCATCATGGTTAGCGATTCGAAAGGAACTACAGATCCAGTTTATGGAGCCATTTGGGGAAGGCAGAGGTTGGAGTCAAGAGAGGAATCAGTTTGGAGTCATATCATGTCCACAAACAATCCATTAATGGTTACAGGCTTAGCAGTCCCGTGCTGGATGTTATTAGTTCATTTCAGTAAAATTAGTTTCAAATTTCAGAATATCAGTGTTGGCTGTTCTCTTGACTTGGCTCATTTTGGGGGGAATTTCACCTTCTGAGCACACAGGCTACTCTTGATGCCGAGAACATTTTCTACCTGACTTTTCAAAGACATTTAAAAAAAATGTTGACCGGAAGAAGCAGTTTAGAAGAAGATTGGCAAACGAAGCAGTTGAGTGTTTTCCCACTTCGCTAAACTTTGGATTTTAGACCACACCAAAATCCATACGGTAACTAAGAGAGGCATTTGTCTTTTCAAGAAATGGTGACTGCAGGGAGCTTAGAGAAGTAAAATCCCAAATACAAAACCCAATATATCATCACCTCCACCAGTGAACAACAATTAGAAGAAATCACTGAATGTGCTTAACGGTGGGGTTCAAATAATTTAACCACTGGTTCTCTGCCCTAATGATTTCTTCCAACAAACAATTCACCAAACTGCTCAGAAAGTTAACAACCAGTTCTCCCAAACTGGTGTGGACTAGCTGAATCCCACCACTGTCCATATCACCCTGGGGTCCTCAGGCCTGCTGGCGGAAGTTAGTTTATCTCTGCAGGGATGACGTTGAACAGGAGGGGAAGGTCCTTCTTCTTGGTCCCACTAAACCAGGGGGGTCTTCATACTTGGCAGCTTTAAGACTTATGGACTTGAACTCCCAGAATTCCTCAATGGCTGGCTGAGGAATCCTGGGAGTTGGCCCACAATCCTTACCGTTGCCAGGTAGGGAGACCTTTGCATTAGATGGATCTTCTTCATGATCTCTAGCTTACTTTGCCTTATAGCAATAGCACTTAGATTTATAGGCCACTTCACAGTGCTTTACAGGCCTCTCTAAGCAGCCTCTTTTGCCCTCATTCCTGCAAATTGCATTTCCTTCATACGTGTGTGTGTGTGTGTGTGTGTGTGAGCAAGGGTGTGCGTGCATATACAAGGAGCCACCCTATCTTCCTTCTCCAAAATGAAGAGCGGTTTATTCCCCCTCCCACCCCCACCGAAGTAGTTGCAAGGGCACCCAGCCAAAATAGCATTTGCCACCTTCTCCTGGAGAAGCAGCGGTACAGATGTGTCATCATGCCGCAGGAACAATTTGTTTATTAAAAGAGGGATCTATTTTTGAAGTGCCATACAGCTCTCCACAACTCCCCATGTGGATGCTGTAACCGAACAGGTAACAGAAGGGAGGCTTTTTGCAAATAGGTATGGTGGTAAGGGGTTAAAGCCATGGGACTGATCTTCCTTTTTGGCCTTGAGGCTTCCGGGAGGATCCTAGAGTAGTGGTGGCTAACCTTTTTGTGCCAAAAATTGTGCACGCATTAGTGCGCACGCACTGGCGTGCCAGCACCCAGAATGCAATGTGTGCGCCCCCATGTCCCCTGTGCATGTGTGCCCAGTCTCCCCCATCACCACCGCCCCACCACGCCCTTACTTGCACTGCGCCTCACAGCTGATTTTTTGGCCTCCCAGAGGCTTGGAAAAAGCCTCTGCAAGGCTTTTCAGGACAAATAATAGGCCCATTTTGTCGCTTCTGGTATTACAGGAAGTGACAAAACGGGCTTATTATTCGACCTGAAAACCTTGCAG